ACTTGTTTAATCAGCTACCATCTCTCCTATGGACTTTTTAATGTCTACAGTCTCAGATCAACACAGCCCTGCCCTTCCCATATTAGATTCTTGATGAATGTGTGTTGTTGTTATTCAGCCTGGTTCAATGTGCCCCTTTTTAACTTTGAGCACCCGCCCCTTTAAACCTCTCTGCACGGCCCTGCTCCACTGTGTATTTAAGCCCTGTGTTTGCCTTTGTCCTTTGTTGTGTTGTAACCTCTACATGCTGTGTGTTTGTCATGGTCTAGTGGTCCAGTGCCTCTGTTCTGAGTTTTGATTTTTGTGAGTTTTATTTTATGAGGAGGTTTTGCCAGCAATAAAAGCTGTGTTTTGAGTTCCAGTCCTGCGTTTTCTGTGCTTTTTCCTGCCTGCCTGCCACACAGCCTATCATGACAAGTGTAGGGTAAGAGTTAAGGTTGTGTTTGGCTTCAGTTGAAGTTGAACATACCTGAAGACGCAACCTGAACCAGGAAATACCTTCAAACTGAACAAGCCTGTAAAACCAAATGACTCTTGTTAATTCTTCAGTTTAACTCCAACACGCCGAACATGGTGGTGAAGCTAGTGATCCTGTTCCTCCTTTGTCACATTGCATCTGCAGGTAAGATCATGAACCACAATCAAAAAATATATAACATTTACTTGGCAATGCTATTCTTAGTAAAATGCAACTAAAATGTATCAGCAGACAGGTGAATCTAACTGTAACAGTTTTTAGTTAAAAAGACTAACAATGTAGTTGTTGCATCAAACTAACACATTCAAAACATGAAACACAAACATTTTTACAGACTTTTTTTATTTTTAAATTTTCTTTAAAATATGTTTTGATGATTTGGTTAGGTTTATGGAATTAAAAATGACTTTGTTAAGGTTAGGCGTACTGGCCTACATTTAGAAAGAGTATTGTGGTTTTGTTTAAAACAGCTAAGCTTTATTTTTCTTGGTTGCAATGGTGACACCTTCCCGTTGAAATGCATTATGCACACATTAGTGCTCACTCACACACTCACTCCACCTTGGAAAAATAACTAAGCTCTAAGCTCAAAGAAATCATTAAATGGTCAAAATTACGTCCATGCCCATTATTATAGGCTCAAATAATCCTGTTCAAAAGCATGTATGACTGTTTTACAACGTTGGTCCTTGTGACAAAGTGGATGAGCAGTTGGAACACTCTCCACTTGTCCCAGAAGTATAAAAATTTTTGCACATTAATCACATTGACAAAATCAATCATCGCAAATAAACATATGTAGAGAACAAAGTACTATCCTGGGTTTGTTTGTGTGAGCATTGTGTTGCAGCTTTGTGAATCTCAGCCCTTTGTGTTGAATTTTAGATTTCTCAGCTCAAGCTAGCAGTACTGCCTAGACTACCTGAAGGTAAACTGACAGCCCTATATAGTCAGTCTCAGTTTGATTCAGTGGAAGGAGTAGAGGTGAGCTATGTTAACTAGTCCATGTGTTTTTTGATTTTTGTCAAATGTTAATTTGGGGGAGTTCTGTTAAGTTTCAATATAATGGAGGTCACTGTAAATAAATCGCTCATCTCTGGGAACCCCAAATGTCTGCTGAGTTTGCTTACCTACCACCTTCCTTCACACTTGAGCCAGACTACTTCAGTCCTTTGGCCAGACATCTTTACCAAAATAAGATTAAGATTTTTTATTGTCAAGTTTTATTGTTATTGTTTATTGTTATAATAAACAATAACACTCACTCAGCCCTACTGTAGACGCTGTTATTAAGTTCAATTCAAATCAGTTATTTATTAGCACCAAATCACAACAATCTCCTCAAGGTGTTTGTGTTATTTTTTCCCTCTTCTTTTACTGCATCATAATCAGTGTTCCCTCTAATTTTTCATGTGTCTGAGCGAACACACAAACTCCCTGAGTGGTCCGTTGGACCACTGTGAGCAACAGCAGATGTGTGCACTGTGGTCACGCCAGCATCGAATCCATCCAAGTTACATGGTTTATTAAAATAATCAAATTACACTATTTATGTTAGACTACTTTTAATTAACTGCTTTAGCCCACTTACAATGAAAATAAAAAAAAATCTTGTTCATGACCTGTGCAGTATGTTAACACTATTGGAAGTAAAAATAACTTGAACTCCAATTTTGAAAACACAACTTTCTTTTATTTATTTTCTTTCTTTCTTTCTTTCTTTCTTTCTTTCTTTCTTTCTTTTTTTAATAAATCTCTGACTTGTATTATGAGTCTGTGGTCTGGGAGAGAGTCCTGTAACTCTCTGTCTGCAAAATACAGTAAATAATGACCAATGCTGGGCCATTAATTATATAGTTACTTCTTCAAAAAAGTAACTGAGTTATGCAAACAACGTTGCAGCTGTTTACCTAAAAATGCAGCCAAGGTGTTTTTTAAAATAAACATTTCAAACTATTTACAGAACAATCAGCTGTTCTGCATCAAATTTGATGCCACACAAATTATTTGTGCCACTCCAAAAAAAAAATTCTGTCCACTATGAGATAAAGGAGAACAACAGCCTGATACCTGCAGGCCTGACAACAGGAGATGTACACTGCTGTAACACCTGTAACATTCAGCAGTCGCCTCATTGTTCTGACACACACAACAAAACTATTGACTACACTACACACTAACTACACAAGATTTGCGCTAAACGTCGCAAATCTCTCACATCTCAAAACACCGTCACTCCTAAAACTTCCCCCCTTCCTAAACAACTATATGCCATGTTGCCTTATTATTTTTTGATTGGTCGACATGGTACATTTTTCCACCAATAGGAAAGGGTGGGTTTTTTTTTTGGTTTTGTTTTTGCTCAAAGGTGGAGAGTGCTTTCGAGGTTTTCCTTAT